AGCTCTGGCTCTCCCTCTCTTTTCCATATGCAGCATCCTTAGTCGTCAAGACCTGGGTGTACTATCAACAGCCTGTGACAGACCCAGGAGGTCAGGCAAAAAGTGGTGGCCCTCTTGATCTTCCTCCATTGATTCTTTCTCACCCTCTCAATCCTCAACCCTTGATCTCTTTTTTTTTTAAATTATGAAAATATGGTAACACATTTACAGGAGACTTGGAAAATATAGAACAAGGTTATATATAGTTCCACTATATAGTACAATTATTTTTAAGTAGATAAATTAAGATTTTTAGTTTAAGCTTCAGTATCAAACTCTCAAAAATTAATACAACAAATATACAGAGAAGTAGAAGGATATAATAGACCTGAAAAGCATATAATTAAGATTGATACAATTTTCACACATTATGATACAAACCCTATTTAAGTTCCCATAGACTATAAACTAGGAGACTCTGTAACATATCCAGGGACATATGAACAGGTGCAAAAATTTCATTTCTGCAGGTATTGAAATCATACAGAATCTGTTCTCTTATTACTGTGGAATTATGTTAGAGAGCAGTATCAAAAGATATTTGAAAATAACCCACATATTTTCAAGTGCAATGTGACATTTACCAAGAGAGATCTTTGACTTCGCCATTGAAAGCTTCATTAAAGTCAGAAGACTGAAAAAGCACAGAGAGTGTTTGCAGGGAAGACACCTTGATCTCTTGTGAGTAATCGTCTTTTTGGTTCTCACTGCTAATGCCATGGATAGACCGGTCTAAACACATCCCTGGCTACTTGAGGTTTTTTGTATTTCCATACACATTGTGAAATTATTTGTTCTAGTTCTGTGAAAAATACCATTGGTAGCTTGATAGGGATTGTATTGAATCTATAGATTGCTTTGGGTAGTAGAGCCATTTTCACAATATTGATTCTTCCAATCCATAAACACGGTATATTTCTCCGTTTGTGTCCTCTTCGATTTCTTTCACCAGTGTTTTATAGTTTTCTATATATAGGTCTTTTGTTTCTTTAGGTAGATATACTCCTAAGTATTTTATTCTTTTTGTTGCAGTGGTGAGTGGTAGTGTTTCCTTAATTTCTCTTTCTGTTTTCTCATTGTTAGTGTATAGGAATGCAAGGGATTTCTGTGTGTTAATTTTATATCCTGCAACTTTACTATATTCGTTGATTAGCTCTAGTAATTTTCTGGTAGAGTCTTTAGGGTTTTTTATGTAGAGGAAACATGTATATTATCTAGGGTGAAACAGATCACCAGCCCAGGCTGGATGCATGAGACAAGTGCTCGGGCCTGGTGCACTGGGAAGACCCAGAGGAATTGGGTGGAGAGGGAGGTGGGAGGGGGGGATCGGGATGGGGAATACATGTAAATCCATGGCTGATTCATGTCAATGTATGACAAAAACCACTATAATATTGTAAAGTAATTAGCCTCCAACTAATAAAAATAAATGAAAAAAACAAAGCAAACAAACAAAAAACACATCCCTGTCTTGACCCGGCCTCTTGAGCTCAGTTTTTCTAGCTCATTCTCCAGGCTGATGTGAAGTCAGTCATTCTGACACAGCCATTTGAAATCACATCCCTCCCCAGGCCCACAGTGCATTTTGCCTTCACTTTACTTGGAGGACAGTGTCTGACTCCACATCAGGACATCCCAGCTCTCCATGATCAAGCCACCCACCTGCCTTTCCAGTCTGACCTCTCACCATTCCACATCCTTTACCCTGGGTTTGAAGTAATACTAACTATTTGCAGTTCAGAGTCAGTGTTTGAACCATTCTGACCATGGGGGCCTTAAAGTATGTATCCTAAGACACCTCACTTTTCCTCACCTGGGTCCCCACTCACCATGATTGTAGCCAGACCTCTCTTTATGATGATTGGCCACCAGTCCAGGTACACAGCAAAGCATAGATACAGGTTATTGTTGGACTTGCTGAAAGTATGGAGGAAAAGTCTTAAAGTAGGATCTGGAGAAATAAACATACAACTAATATCATTGTATGGGGCTTCTCCAGTGGCTTAGATAGTAAAAAAAATCCACCTGCAATGTGGGAAGATCCCCTAGAGAAGGGCATGGCTACCCACTCCAGTATTCTGGCCTGGAGAATTCCATGGACAGAGAAGCCTGGAGGGCTACAGTTCATGGGTCACTGAGAGTGGGACACAACTGAGCAGCTTTCACTTTCACATTCGATATCACAGTATAAAAGAGAACAGACTAAGTGCTTGGTGGCAGAAAGTTAACGCTACAGTTTCCATATAAGGCACCTCTTTGGCAAGGTTATAGTGAAATGAAAATGAGAATTAAGGAATAATAGAGGAGTATTAGAGGACTTTAAAAGGAAATAGGAGAGAAAAACAAGAAAAAGAAAAAAAAATTTTTTCCCTAATTAAAAAAATTGTAAAAATATATGAAAATGAAAGTTGAGGAGTAATGGGGGAGTAATAGGGGATTTTAAAAGAAAATAAAAGAGAAATAATTAAAAAAAATTTAAAAAAAAGGATAGAAAAAAAAATTTTTTTAATTAAAAAAAAAAATATATATATATATCTAGGAATTTCTCTGGAGTTGTTGCAGTCAGCGTAGGTTCAGTTCAATTTCAGATAGCTCCTCTTTCCAGCTTACACTTCTCGATATCTGTAGGCCCCTTCTGGTGTAGTCGGTGTTACCTTCAGGGATTTTAATCTGTTGCACCAGTCCTTTCTGAAGCGGTTCCCTTTGTTTATTTGGCTTCTGTTTGCCGTCTCTTTGGTGTCTAATTTCCGCCCTGACACAGGCGGGTGGAGGTGATCTCTTATTTAGGTTCTCCAGTTCAGTTCAGTCCTGCTACGGGGAGGGCGGGGCGCTGCAGACAGATACCGCTCTGTGTGGATAGCCGGCCACACTGGGTTTGCCCCGCTCACGGGTGTCAGTGCTTTCGCCGTCTACACTGCTCAGGCTCCCGGCTGCTCTATATGGAGCGGGCCCTGCATTGAGTGCGGTTCCAGTTTTTGGGTACTCCACAAAAGCGCGGATTCGGTTGCGCAGGCGTTTTGTACCTTCCCCGGCCTGAGCGGTTCAGGCAGCCAGGGGCTTGGGCGCACTCTCCCTGGGTGTGGCACGCCTTTTCCCTCCGCGGTGAGCGGTTCAGGAAGCCAGGGGCTTAGGCGCACTCTCCCCGGATGCGGCGCGCCTTTTCCCTCCGCGTCGAGCGGCCCAGGCAGCCAGAGGCTTGGGCGCACTCTCCCCGGATGTGGCACGCCTTTTCTCTCCGCGTCAAGCGGCCCAGGCAGCCAGAGGCTTGGGCGCACTCTCCCCGGGTGCGGCGCGCCTTTTCCCTCCTCGGTGGGCAGCTCAGGCAGCCAGAGGCTTGGGCGCACTCTCCCCGGGTGCAGCGCGCCTTTTCCCTCCGCGGTGAGCGGCTCAGGCAGCCAGAGACTTGGGCACACTCTCCCTGGATGCGGCGCGCCTTTTCCCTCCGCGGCGAGCTGCTCAGGCAGCCACAGGCTTGGGCGCACTCTCCCCGGATGCGGCGCGCCTTTTCCCTCTGCGGCGGGCAGCTCAGGCAGCCAGAGGCTTGGGCGCACTCTCCCCGGATGTGGCGCGTCTTTTCCCTCCGCGGTGAGCGGCCCAGGCAGCCAGAGGCTTGGGCGCACTCTCTCCGGCTGTGGCGCGCCTTTTCCCTCCGCGTCGAGCGGCTCAGGCAGCCAGAGGCTTGGGCGCACTCTCCCCGGATGTGGCGCGCCTTTTCCCTCCGCGGTGAGCGGCCCAGGCAGCCAGAGGCTTGGGCGCACTCTCTCCGGCTGTGGCGCGCCTTTTCCCTCCGCGTCGAGCGGCTCAGGCAGCCAGAGGCTTGGGCGCACTCTCCCCGGGTACGGCGCGCTTTTTCCCTCCGCGGCCCCAGCGCGCGCCACCAGTCGGGTCTCAGGGAGTCTTTAGATAGGAACCGGGGCCTGTTTGCAGTGTGGGAGGGGGCGGCTTCTCAGGGGCTGAGTTTGCCCTTTTCCCCTCCCCCCTGCCTCCAACCTCCAGCGGGGATGGGCCGGCTCTTCTCTGGAGTTTCTCAGTCCCTTTGTTTTGCGAACCACCGGCAGTGTGTTCGGGCCGGTTAATTTTGTCCCTTGCTATCCCACAGTTTAAAAAAGCTCCCTCTGAATGCTCTCAGGGTCTTCAGGCCGGTCCTTACCCTAAGCAATGCCGCCCGCTCCTCTCCGTCCCGCCCCCGCTTGTTGCTGGCGGGTACGGGCGTCTGGGGTACTTTTCTGCTGGGAGTTGCTTTTAGGCACGTAATCTGTGGGCCTTGTTTAATTTTTCCTCCCAGTTAGATTGCCAAAAACTTCCCCCAGTCCCGCCAGTGCGAGGGTTTCCTGGTGATTGGAAACTTCCTCTATTAAGACTCCCTTCCCGGGACGGGTCTCCCTCCGTAGCTCTTTTGACTCCCTTTTTATCTTTTATATTTTGTCCTACCTCCCTTCGAAGACAATGGGCTGCTTTTCTGGGTGCCTGATGTCCTCTGCTAGCGATCAGAAGTTGTTTTGTGAAATTTGCTCAGCATTCAAATGTTCTTTCGATGAACTTGTAGGGGAGAAAGTGGTCTCCCCGTCCTATTCCTCCGCCATCTTGGCTCCTCCCTCAAGGCACCTCTTTGGGAATGCAGGGGAAGAGAGGAACAACGAGGATTGGACTCACCATGCACTGCACTCTTATGAAGTGGTGGGTCAGAATAAAGACGAAAAATGGCCTTTCAGGTAAGGGAAACAGCATTAACCAAGGTTTAGAGGAAGAAGAGCATAACATGTGGTAGGGACAGAAAGGTTATACAGACACATAGACATACAACACACACACACATACATTTATAGGTTTGTATTAGTCATGATAGGGTAGGTAGTGCAGCGACAGGAAACATATATACATCTTGGAGGCATTGTATAACCAAAGCTTACTTATCATGTCATTTAGGAAGCTGGATCCTATCCCCCACGGCGTAGCATTACCTTTGGGCCAGGCAGTTGGAGGGACATCTCAGCACAAATAGGGCGTGGGTAGTGTATACGTACAGGACGTCTAGCCACGTCAGGGGGCTGGCCAGGAAAGTAAAAGCCTGGTCCTGGAAGTCAGAAGCATCATTAGAAATAAGACACTGCACGATTTTTGTAGGCTTACATAATAACTCAAAGTTAGTTATTTCTGTTGATGATCTTGTATGTTAATAACACAATCACTTTCTTAGATTTGTCCCTTGGAATCAATTTATATTTCTTGTTCGTCCTCCCCCACTATGTTCAATCAACTGTTGGTGTTAAATAGAATCATTCTTCACAAATTCCACCTGTCTGTACTCCTCAGTGCATTCTCAGCTATCTTTTCCAAGCAACTTTGTTCCTTTCAGTGAGAAATGGTATTTAAGTTTAAGAATCCGGGTGCCAAGGGCTCACTGCTTCTGCTTTGTGTAACTGTTTCCTGGCCTTCTCAGTAGACATATGTTCAGTTCAGTTGCTCACTCGTATCCGACTCTTTGCAACCCCATGAACTGCAGCACTCCAGGCCTCGCTGTCCATCACTAACTCCCGGAGTCTACCCAAACCCATGTCCATTGAGTCGGTGACACCATTGAACCATCTCATCCTCTGTCGTCCCCTTCTCCTCCTGCCCTCAATCTTTACCAGCATCAGGGTCTTTTCAAATGAGTCAGCTCTTTGCATCAGATGGCCAAAGTATTGGAGTTTCAGCTCCAACATCAGTCCTTCCAATGAACACCCAGGACTGATCTCCTTTAGAATGGACTGGTTGGATCTCCTTGCAGTCCAAGGGACTCTTAAGAGTCTTCTCCAACACCACAGTTCAAAAGCATCAATTCTTCGGCGCTCAGCTTTCTTTATAGTCCAACTCTCACATCCATACGTGACCACTGGAAAAACCATAGCCTTGTCTAGACCGATGTTTGTTGACAAATGTCTCTGCTTTTTAATATGCTGTCTAGGTTGGTCATAACTTTCCTTCCAAGGAGTAAGCGTCTTTTAATTTCATGGCTGCAATCACCATCTGCAGTGATTTTGGAGCCCAGAAAACTAAAGTCAGCCACTGTTTCCCCATCTATTTTCCATGAAGTGATGGGACCAGATGCCATGATCTTAGTTTCCTGAATGTTGAGCTTTAAGACAACTTTTTCACTCTCCTCTTTCACTTTCATCAAGAGGCTTTTTAATTCCTCTTCACTTTCTGCCATAAAGATGGTGTTGTCTGCATATCTTAGGTTATTGATATTTCTCCCAGAAATCTTGATTCCAGCTTGTGCTTCCTCCAGTCCAGCGTTTCTCATGATGTACTCTGCATACAAGTCAAATAAGCAGGGTGACAATATACAGCCTTGACGTACTCCTTTTCCTATTTGGAACACGTCTATTGTTCCATGTCCAGTTCTATCTGTTGCTTCCTGACCTGCATACAAGTTTCTCAAGAGACAGGTCAGATGGTCTGGTATTCCCATCTCTTGAAGAATTTTCCACAGTTTATTGTGATCAACACAGTCTAAGGCTTTGGCATAGTCAATAAAGTAGAAATAGATGTTTTTCTGGAACTCTCTTGCTTTTTTGATGATCCAGCGGATGTTGGCAATTTGATCTCTGGTTCCTCTGCCTTTTCTAAAAACCAGCTTGAACATCTGGAAGTTCATGGTTCACGTATTGCTGAAGCCTGGCTTGGAAAATTTTGAACATTACTAGCGTGTGAGATGAGTGCAATTGTGTGGTAGTTCAAGCATTGCCTTTCTTAGGGATTGGAATGAAAACTGACCTTTTCCAGTCCTGTGGTCACTGCTGAGTTTTCCAAATTTGCTGGCATATTGAGTGCAGCACTTACACAGCATCATCTTTTAGGATTTGAGCTAGCTCAACTGGAATTCCATCACCTCCACTAGCTTTGTTCGTAGTGATGCTTTCTAAGGCCCACTTGACTTCACATTCTAGGGTGTCTGGCTCTAGGTGAGTGATCACACCATCGTGATTATCTGGGTCATGAAGATCTTTTTTGTATAGTTCTTCTGTGTATTCTTGCCACCTCTTCTTAACATCTCCTTCTGTTAGGTCCATACCATTTCTGTCCTTTATTGAACCCATCTTTGCATGAAATGTTCCCTTGTATCTCTAATTTTCTTAAAGAGATCTCTAGTCTTTCCCATTCTGTTGTTTTCCCATTCTGTTGTTCATCAGGCACTGTGTCTATCAGATCTAGTCCCTTAAATCTATTTCTCACTTCCACTGTATAATCATAAGGGATTTGATTTAGGTCATACCTGAATGGTCTAGTGACATGTGTAGGAACATATTTTTGTTTTTTTGTTTTTCAGAAGAAAAAAATGCATTTTTATGCTCATACTGTTTCTAATTCAAATTTAGAATTATAGAGTTTTAATTCTTAGATTTAATATTCATATATCTTTTATACTGAGATCTTGATTAAAATAATTCCTCATCTCTTTTATTCTACTGTGTGCATACACATAATAGTTTCAGATTAACAGTAGCAATATTATTGCAAGAAATATTACTCAACACAATTTATGATTTCTTAACTTTGCTTTTTATCCTGAGAACATCTCAAGATATTTGAGAACTAGTCAAATTGCTGTGTTTCAAATTCACTTGAAGTAAATACTTTCTGGGTTGTTAAGCAGTCACTGTGATAAGTTAGCTTATGTGTTTCACTTTGCTTTTGACTTTTAGGGATTAAGTTACTTGGAAAGAGTTTGATCCTCTCAGGTTTGCTTTTAATCTTTATAGGTGGGACCAAGCAGCGTTTAGTATAGTACTGATTTTGACCTACTACTGATGTCAAACCCTCGAATTAAACTTTGACAGAATTGAATTGTTGATACCTATGGGTAGGTTGTTCTCGACAGTGTTGCACCATTTTTTCTTCCTGTCAACAGTGTATGAGAGAGTCTGTTTATTTGGATATTGTCAACTGATTAAGTGGTCAACCTCTTTGCAGTATACTAAGGGATGAAAGTGCTGGTTTGCAAACTAGCCCTCATTCACAGAGGACAGGGGAAGACCAAAGAAAGAGGCAGACCACTCCAGATTGGTAGGCGGAAGGTTTTAATAAGCAAAGGGGCTTACTTACAAGGCTTGTTTTGGGTGGGCACAAGGCAAATAGATGACCACATTCACCCGTCAGAGTATGAAAAGTTTATTCGGAGGCCTTAAGTGAGTTGTCACCTATATCATCCAGATGTTCTCAACAATCCCTTACCCTTGCAAGGCTTATCCTTGAGACAGTTCCTGAAGCTGGAGCAGGACCCCATGGGGCCTCTTACTGTGTCACCCGCCTCTTGTTTATAGAAAAGCTCAGGAAAGGGCAGGGTGAATTGAGGAAGTAGCCTTGCCATATATACAGTACCATGTGTAAACTAGACAGCTAGTGGGAAGCTGTTGTATAGCACAGGAAAGTCAGTGCTCTGAGATGACCTAGAGACTCAAGAAGGAGGGGATATATGTACACATATAGCTGATCTGAGGATTCCCAGGTGGCGCTAGTGGTAAAGAACCTGCCTGCCAATGGAAGAGACATAAGAGACGTGAGTTCGATCCCTAGGTCAGGAAGATCCCCTGGAGGAGGGCACCGCACCCCACTCCAGTGTTCTGCCTGGAGAGTCCCATGGACATAGGAGCCTGGCAGGCTACAGTCCCTAGGGTCACAAAGAGCCGGACACAGCTGAGCGACTTAGCACGCGGCATAGCTGGTTCACAGTGTTGTACAGCAGAAAGTAACATGCATTGTAAAGTAACTGTACCCTGATTAAAAACAAAAGCTTTAGCCTCCTAAGCCTTCCTCAAGTTCCAAAGGACAAATTTAATTGGTTAATATTTAGAGAAGTGAGAAAAGACAGAAACAAAGGAAAATAAGCAAGGAAAATAATGATAGCTTAGCCATACAACAAAGAAAAGAACTCCTTAGTTCCTCCTCAGGGCTATAGACAATGTCCTTGCGTCGTTCTACAGAAACTTACATGTCCCCCACGCTCCATATCAGATGGAGAATGTTGACTGTGTGCTAACCACCAGCACGTAAACCCCAGAATGATTAGAACCAGAAAATTGATGACTGTGATTCCTGAAATATCACCCTGTCACCACACTACCTCCCAACTGAAAGAATGTCCATGAGCTAATCAGGCAGCCTGCAACTCTGACCCCTAATGTTGCCTTTAAAAATCCATCCCTAATACACCACATTAACAAATTGAAAGATAAAAACCATATGATTATCTCAATAGATGCAGAAAAAGCCTTTGATAAAATTCAACATCCATTTATGATTAAAACTCTCCAGAAAGCAGGAATAGAAGGAACATACCTCAACATAATAAAAGCTATATATGACAAACCCACAGCAAGCATCACCCTCAATGGTGAAAAACTGAAAGCATTTCCCCTGAAATCAGGAACAAGACAAGGGTGCCCACTCTCACCACTACTATTCAACATAGTTTTGGAAGTTTTGGCCACAGCAATCAGAGCAGCAAAAGAAGTAAAAGGAATCCAGATAGGAAAAGAAGAAGTGAAACTCTCGCTGTTTGCAGATGACATGATCCTCTACATAGAAAATCCTAAAGACTCTACCAGAAAATTACTAGAGATAATCAACGAATACAGTAAAGTTGCAGGATATAAAATTAACACACAGAAATCTCTTGCATTCCTATACACTAACAATGAGAAAACAGAAAGAGAAATTAAGGAAACAATACCATTCACCATTGCAACAAAAAGAATAAAATACTTAGGAGTATATCTACCTAAAGAAACAAAAGACCTATACATAGAAAACTATAAAACACTGATGAAAGAAATCAAAGAGGACACAAACAGATGGAGAAATATACCGTGTTCATGGATTGGAAGAATCAATATTGTCAAAATGGCTATACTACCCAAAGCAATCTACAGATTCAATGCAATCCCTATCAAACTACCAACGATATTTTTCACAGAACTAGAACGAATAATTTCACAATTTGTATGGAAATACAAAAAACCTCGAATAGCCAAAGTAATCCTGAGAAAGAAGAATGGAACTGGAGGAATCAATCTGCCTGACTTCAGACTATACTACAAAGCCACAGTCATCAAGACAGTATGGTACTGGCACAAAGACAGAAATATAGATCAATGGAACAGAATAGAAAGCCCAGAGATAAATCCACGAACCTATGGTCACCTTATCTTTGACAAAGGAGGCAAGGATATACAATGGAAAAAAGACAACCTCTTTAACAAGTGGTGCTGGGAAAACTGGTCAACCACCTGTAAAAGAATGAAACTAGAACACTTTCTAACACCATACACAAAAATAAACTCAAGATGGATTAAAGATCTAAATGTAAGACCAGAAACTATAAAACTCCTAGAGGAGAACATAGGCAAAACACTCTCCGACATAAATCACAGCAGGATCCTCTATGACCCACATCCCAGAATTTTAGAAATAAAAGCAAAAATAAACAAATGGGACCTAATGAAACTTAAAAGCTTTTGCACAACAAAGGAAACGATAAGCAAGGTGAAAAGACAGCCCTCAGATTGGGAGAAAATAATAGCAAACGAAGCAACAGACAAAGGATTAATCTCAAAAATATACAAGCAACTCCTCCAGCTCAACTCCAGAAAAATAAATGACCCAATCAAAAAATGGGCCAAAGAACTGAACAGACATTTCTCCAAGGAAGACATACAGATGGCAAAAAAACACATGAAAAGATGCTCAACATCACTCATTATCAGAGAAATGCAAATCAAAACCACAATGAGGTACCATTACACACCGGTCAGGATGGCTGCTATCCAAAAGTCTACAAGCAATAAATGCTGGAGAGGGTGTGGAGAAAAGGGAACCCTCTTACACTGTTGGTGGGAATGCAAATTAGTACAGCCACTATGGAAAACAGTGTGGAGATTTCTTAAAAAGCTGGAAATAGAACTGCCATATGACCCAGCAATCCCACTTCTGGGCATACACACCGAGGAAACCAGATCTGAAAGAGACACGTGTACCCCAATGTTCATCGCAGCACTGTTTATAATAGCCAGGACATGGAAGCAACCTAGATGCCCATCAGCAGACGAATGGATGAGGAAGCTGTGGTACATATACACCATGGAATATTACTCAGCCATTAAAAAGAATTCATTTGAATCAGTTCTAATGAGATGGATGAAACTGGAGCCCATTATACAGAGCGAAGTAAGCCAGAAAGATAAAGACCATTACAGTATACTAACACATATATATGGAATTTAGAAAGATGGTAACGATAACCCTATATGCAAAACAGAAAAAGAGACTCCTATGTATAGAACAGACTTGTGGACTCTGGGAGAAGGCGAGGGTGGGATGTTTCAAGAGAACAGCATTGAAACACATATATTATCTAGGGTGAAACAGTTCACCAGCCCAGGTTGGGTGCATGAGACAAGTGCTCGGGCCTGGTGCACTGGGAAGACCCAGAGGGATTGGGTGGAGAGGGAGGTGGGAGGGGGGACCGGGATGGGGAATACATGTAAAAAAAAATAAATAAATAAAAGAAATTGTACTTAAAAGAAAATAAACTACCTATGATACTTAAAAAAAAAAAAAAATCCATCCCTGAAGGCCATGGGGGAGTTCTGATCTTTTGAGCACTAGCTGCCAGTCCTCCTAGCTTGATTCCCATGAATAAACACTTTATTTTCCTTCACCACAACCTGGTATCAGTAGATTGGCTTTGCTGTGCATCGAGCAAGCAGACTGAGGTCAGGTCAGTAACACTGCTGCTGTGGGAACAGCAGTGAACTGCACGTACGTTCCAGGTCGGGGGGAGCGTGAAAGCCTGCTTTTGCCCAGGTCCAGCTTGTAGGTTCACTGGTGATCTCATGCTCTCAAGGTCCTCTTCCAACAAAATGGTATTTCTGAATTTAAAATTTTTCTCTTGTTATGGCTGAGGTTGAGCATCTTTATATTTAAGACAAGAGCCGTTTGCATGTATGTGAATTTACTGTGAGATCCTGGGCATGGCTCATTCTTCTCCTAGTATGTTCTCTGTTTTTAAGAGAAGTCTTTAAGTGGTGGGAAACTCTTGGCCTGATAATATATTTGCAAATATTGTACTCGTTTTTCATTTGTTTTTTATATGCCCTGGTATTTTTAAATCACATATTTTTTTTTACATTGTCCAATTTATCTTTTCTCAAGTTGTTTCTAGATTTTGAGTCATATTTAAGAAAAGCTTTTCCTACTACTAGGTTATAGAAGAATTCGTCCATGCTTTCTCCTAATAGTTGCTTAACTGCTAAGCAATTATCCCAACACTGTTTTTTAAAAATAATCCATCCTTTCTTCACTGCTTTGACATAAAGACTTTATCACATATTAAACTTCTATATTGGTTGTCAACTTTTCCAATATCCTTTTTTTATTTTGCAGTATCAAAATGGAACTAAAAACTTTTAAAGGCAGAGTTAAAAATGTTTTAATAAGCAATAAGCATTAATCTAGTGATAATTAATGTAGTTAAATCTAGAATTGATCATATCAATAAATTCTGATTATTTGCTTCAGGTAATATGATGAAGAATTCAGGAAAATTAAAGTGATAATCCAGTGAGTAAATAGTAGTTAAATCCTCTATCGTGAAATGATATTTATCACTGCCATGATTATGAAACAGTAAGCTACAATATTACTGAATATGGCTTTATGGAAATCTAATATTTTAAGTAGCACAGATAAATTTGTATATTATATATATGTATCTTCAGCCTGAAATAAACTTTGTAAAGGTTCTGATGTATAAAAATGTGCTTTTCAGAAATTTTCCTTGCTACTGAAAATCTTTCATTTTTTAGGGGAAGCTCATTATTAGATCCATTCTGCTAATCTTTGCTGGAGAACTTTAAGCCACAGACTCGTGTAAGATGTCAGATTTGGCGGGAACATTCTCAGGTCTGCTCCTCTGCCACCAGCCCCCCTAGGGTTATAAATCTGCTTCCTTGTGATTGCAGCTTTAGTTTTCCTCTCACTCTCCTTAGGTAATAAAATCACTAGTTAGGAGTTCTGTATTTGCATATTAAAACCCAAAATGAGATAACATTTTTGCATGTCAACTGCATTTTTTTAAAAGGGCTCTTTTGGGGTTGAATTGTATGTGTTTAAATCTGAGGAAATAGACATTCTTAATATGACATTGGGAGCAAAAACGTTTTGAATCTTCCTCAAGGAAAATTAGTTCATTTGTGGACTGACTTCCACTTCCCGCTGCTACTGTGTATCTGAACTCAGTCATCCTTCTGGTTTCAGCTCACGTGTCATCTCCCTCAGGATGCTTTCTCTGATGACTATCACTCACTCTGTGTCCAGTGCATCCTTATTTGTCCCCATCAGCACAGTGGCGTTGCCTTCCTGACTCACAGAAAGAGTGTTTGGCCAGGTTTGGCTGTGCATTCCTTGAGGACAGGGGTGATGTTCTGTCGGCTTGAATGGCTTTGTATCTCGTGCTCCATTCACAGTTCCTGGCACAGACGAGACAGAACATTTGTTTTTTAATTGCTTTTTTTTGGGTTTGTGATGGTGTTCAGAAAGTGTCACTGATACATAGTCGAGGCATCATCATGGTAAGTCATCTGGTACCTGCTGCATTGTTGTTGTTCATTCCTCAGTCGTGTCCAACTCTGTGACCCCATGGACCACAGCATGCCAGGCCTCCCTGGCCTCCACCATATCCTGGGTTTGCTCAAACTTAAAGTCCATTGAGTCAGTGATACCATCCAACCATCTTATCCTCTGCCATCCCCTTCTCCTTTGACCTTCAATCTCTCTCAGCATCAGGGTGTTTCCTATGTTTTTGTTGGGCTCATTTCTCTGGAATCAGAGCATTTATGGCATTTTATACCCATGCTACGAAGAAAATGCTAGTTGGTGCTGGCGATATATTTGATGTGTAATAAACTTGAGTGATACCCTAGTCAGAATATGCTGTGGGTGAGATCTGTTATCCAGGTAGAACAATTAATGTACTATGAATATTTCAGAATAGTCACAGACAACACCAATTGCACAGTGAATAATTACACAGTGAGGACATAATGAATCTTTACGTGATTGAAAGCCTGACAGAATATTGAAGGGCAAAGCTGGAAATGCCCAGGAACAAAGGCATAAGTTTTAAAAGGTAGTAAACTAATTTAAAACATTCCTAGCCTGAAATAAGGAAAGAAACAAATTATCATTGTACTAATAATGTAAGATACTGAGGCTTAGGAAAGAACTCTTTGGCAGCTGTGACTGCCTTTTCAAAATATACAAAAGTTGTAAAACTTGCTTGTCACTGTTAGACTGTAGGGATAATTATCCAGGTTTATCTAAAAGGAAGTTGAGAAGATCTGTCCTGAGAATGGTGGAGAGCTGTCACAGGAAGCTCAAGAGATGATACAGGAGAAAGCCTTTGGTGTTGCCCATGGAATTTTCGGCCCAAGGACACTGTCATGATTCTTACCCACAGGCCTTTCATCATATGGCTATCAGTAACAAACCCAGCTATCTTCCTTTTGTTTTCTTTGTTCATTGTTTAAATGTGGAACATACTGAAAAATGCAAAGGAACAAAATTATGATTTCTTCCCTGCTTCTAGATCCAACCCCCAGAAGAAATGACTATTACCAATCTGCAGTGGTAATACTTCCTGACAGTTTCCAGGTTATATAATCTGTGTGTTTGTGTGTCTATGTGTGTTTATGAAAGTGAAATCACTGGGTATTGCTTCCTATTGGACACCTATTTAAGATGCTACTTATCACACTGGGACCACGTGTCGTGGGGTTCTTTTCCTTTGTTGGTTGGCCTGTCTCCACACTTTATGTTCTGTTCTTGGGATTGTTGACCCCATGAAGGAATATAAAGAGAACAGGTTAGGATCTTTAGTGTCAGGGAGCAGGGGATTCAGTGAAAGTTCAGAGCAGAAAAGTTTACAGTTTTCCAAAATGTATTTTTTGACAGTACATATTAAGTACTGCAGATTTAATTCATCTGCTGCATATAGTTTTAGATCTGAGGGTGAGTTTTTTTTTTTTAAAGGAGTCAACCATAGCATTCATATTGGATTAAAACAGAAACAATAAAACTGAGTATAGCATTCCTATTAAAGAGTCAGACTTTTATAAAAGATTTCCTACATATGTGAAATCAGTACCTTATGATTTGATCTTTTTTAAAGAGATGGAGCAGCAAAGTTACCATTCATGACCCCCTTCTTTCTTGGGCAAATGGTGCAACCTTTTCCCCTGTGGAAGCCATTTATTTCCAAGTGTTTTCCTATCAAATATTTAAGTAACAAGAACAGCTGGTCACAACTCCAGAGAGATATTAGGAAGAAAGCAGTAACCTCTGAAAGTGAATTGAGTTTATAAGTAGAACTAGTTAGAACAGTAAATTTCATTTTATATTAGGGAGAACATTTGTGTTTCGTAGGCACTTTAATTTTTAGATTTCTCTGTTATGTCACAGTTTAAAAATACAGATGCAAGGGCAAGATCTTAAGACCCTAGATCTTATTTCAAAATATATAGACATTCAGAATGTGAGGAAGGACAGTGGCATCTAAAACAAAATTCTTCATTTTTCCAAAATGCCAAAACAGTTCATACTAAGTTTAAAATTTCCAATTCTGTTCCATGAACATTGCTGCCACATTTTGCACGTAGACAACTGAAATGTTGGTTATTCATCTTATTATTAATTTTTATAATATTTATTTATTTGTTTGGCTGTACTGGGTCTTAGTCACAGAATCATCATTGCCACATGCAGGATCTAGTTCCCAGATCAGGGATTGAACCTGGGCCCCCTGCATTGGGAGAGTGGAGTCCTAGATACTGCACCACCAGGGAAGTCCTGGTTATTCATCTTAAGATGAGTAAAATACAAAATATGCCTGGGCCAGTGTGAAGTATATGTGTATGTGTGCATATATATCCTGGAGGAGGGCATGGCAAGCCACTCCAGTATTCTTGCCTGGGAAATCCCATGGACAGAGGAGCCTGGCAGGCTACAATCCATTCGATTGCAAAGAGTCAGGCATGACTGAGCATGTGTGTGTGTGTGTGTGTGTGTGTATAAACTCAAATTAAACATTAGGATACTGTCATTATTCTAAGTAAACTTATTAATGTGTTTAAATAAAGTATATAGAAGTATAGAATTGCAATACTGAATGTTTAACATTAAAAATTGCAGCTGTATGTTTTCACTCAGTTGTGTTAGAGTGGTACTATCGCTCATTTTTTGGTTAAGTTTTATATTCTGACTTACTTTGCTTCAGGTAGTGAGATCACAGGGAAGATGATCTAGACCCATTAGTTGTAATGAAATAGCATCACTGTCTTAGAATTGTGGTCCACTCTAGTGTAATATGTCCATTAGACATGCCAAGAGGGGTCGTGCAGGCTGCCCTCTCAGAGTGATGCTCATCACAGGAGGATGACCAGGTGTGAGGTCTCACAGGTAAACCTTATGAAAACTCTTTGGAAAAGAGAGGAGCTGGGGATTGGGAGGGAGACAGATGTCTTCACGTAGTAGAAAAGCAGTCAACTGGAAGAGAATAGTTTTAACTCAGGTGGACATAAAAGACAAAACAAAGAACAATGATTAAAAATTACAGAGATGCAAGTTCATACCCATACAGGGAAGCATTTCCTAAGAAATCATTGTAATTGTCCAAAAATGAAAGTGATCTCTTGACAGAAGGGGTGAAGCTTTTCTTCCATATCTTATGCTTCAGCCATAAAGAGAGCCGATGGTGATTGAAGGGGCCCAGGGTTTAATTGTCTGACCACTGGTGAGTCAGACAACCCTGGGAGATGGCTTCCCATGGACAGAAGAATG